AGTCCACAGCTGCATCTGAGGAGTGAACAGAGCAGGAGTGGATGGCACAGCCCGGAAAGGCGATGAGCTCACACGGAGTGGAGGTGTCAGCACTTGTTCTTCTCTGTGAGAGCCAGCCTGGCAAGCCCTCGGGTGCTGCCACAGGAGGGGCTCAGCCTCCAGGATCTGCCTGTGCTTTGTCCCAGGGCAGCTGAGAGGGGCTTTCCTTCTGGTCTGGCATGACATGGATGCATTTCCTCCACTCTGTATTACCTGTACTGTGTCACACCTTTCACTCATGTCTCTTCCATCCTGTTTGTTGTCCTTCAATCTCACTGAAATGATGCATTACCTCACAAAAACCCAGCTGGATGAACCCTGTTTCTTGGCTCAGCTGCTCTCAATACAGTGAATACTGTTCCAGCCATTCATCTCCAGAAAGTTCTGCTCCCTGCCAAAGGGCCTTCCACAGCTGGAGGGGACCTGTGGCACTGAGTGGAGCAGCTCCTCTTCACCAACACCCACTGCTGGGGCACACAGGGAGCAGAAGGGAAGGGGAGACCCTGCTCCCCCTGCCCTTCCCTCCTGCTGGAGCCAGGAACTGTGCAGCCCCAGGAGGCGGGAGTTTCTTAGACCTGCCAGCTGCAGTGTTTCCCCCAACACCCACCTGGGCAGAGCCTTCCACTTCCAATCCCCCTCTCTGCCAACCAAACCCTGGAAACCTGGAGCTGCCCACAGCCCACTGGGAAGGGAGCAAGGCAGGGCTCTCTCAAGGGGGTTTCACAGGAAGGAACCCACCTACCCACCCACAATTCCCATGTGTCCAAGAAAGCCCCAGGTGCTGTGAAACCACAAGCCCTGCTTTGCACACTGGCCTGGGTGAGTGGAGCAGGGCAGGGCTAGTGCCAGTGAGCGAGGAGAGCCCGGTGCTCCTGACCCAGCCCTGAACACGGAACTGCACCGACCAAAGCAAGCAAACAAAAACTTTCCAAAACTGCATCACAAGATCACACAGAGACAAAACACTACAGAGTCGCAGCCAGTAACTGCAGCCTTTGAATTCTTAAAGAAGTACTAAGGAAACAATTCCCTGCTGAGCCCGGTGCACACCTGTGCCTGTGGCCCAAGCACCTTCAGCAATCCCTGTGCTCAGGTGTGTAATTAAAGAGGGATCCGTCCCACGGCGCAGTGCACGGGAGGGTGTGGAGAGGGGAAGGTTTAAAGTGGGTGAGATGATGAATCACAGCAGCAGGACGAGGGGAAGACCCAACGTTGCCCTGTTCTGTGGAAATGCAGCAGGAGCAGCTCCCTTGTGATGGCGAAGGGAAGAGAGGGAAGCACCTTGCTTGCACAAATCTGGGAGCTGGAACTTGGAGCCCCCCTGCTGCAGACACTGCAGGACTTGGTGCTGACCCACGAGGCCTGGGGACACATGGAGGGACAGACAGCCCGACCCTGACCTCAGACAGGGCAAACCCCCCTTCCCTGGCAACAGCACCGTGTCCCTTCCCCAGGGAATGGCAGCAGACAGGCACAGTCGGAGCCTTCCCCAGGAGCACACAGGGCACTGTCAGATCCCTGCTGTGAACCATCAGCCACACCAGAACAAATACCAAACCCCACTTTTTTAAAAAAGGACTCATTTTTCTGACTCCTAACCACCCTTGGACTGCTGGAAGCCAACTCAAGCGTTCTGCCATCCCACCACGTCACTCTTTAAACCAACCAGACCCCTCAGCAGCAGCAAACGGGCTGGAGCAAGGGTTGTGGCTTCTGTGGAGCAGCACTCGACCCTTCCCACAGCAGATGTGCACCCAAACTCCTCATTCCCAGCAGAAGCATCTCCTCGATACACTCCCTGGGGACTGCATATCCCATCTGGGGCTCAGCAGCAGCCTCAGCTTCTCCCTCTGGCAACAGAGAGCCAGACTTTTCACAGCAATAGATGGAAATAAAAAGCCGCTTCTGCAGCTTTGGCTTTAACACAACCCATCCCTCATTGCTCCTGGCAAAGCCTCCTGAATGCAGCCTGATAGCTCAGCCACAGATTGTTCTGTTGTTTCCCGCCTCTAACTTCACAGTGAACCACGAAAAAAAAAAAATACAGTAAATCAAATTCTGCAGCCTTGATGCAGAAGTGGCTCATAACCCCAAGGAACCTCAAGGATTCACAGACCATTTCTGGTTTCTGGACTTGCTGTTGCTCATAAGCCTCAAGCTGTGCGTGCACAGAGTGGGTTTTCTCTCTGGCTGCTCCTGCCTGTGCCATGGCCCATGGCTGGAACCGGAGAAGCCAGGCCTGGCTGAGGAGCCAGGATCTGCTGCTGGCTGCTGGGCCAGGCCTGCAGCAGCTCCCCAGGGCCTGGCAGATCCCAGGGGCTGCGTGGACGCCAGCAGGGAGCCCAGCCTCCCAAACCCTGGCAGCCATCACCTCTTTGTGAGCTCACCATCTGCTCTGGCAAATCCACACTCCCATTTCCCCCTCCTGCATCCTCCTCATTCCTCCAGCTCGCTGTCAGCATTCCCCATTCCCATCAGCTTCCCACTGGCACTCCTTCTCCTGCCCAGTGCCCTGAGTGTTACACCCTGGCACATTCACCCCTCGAGAGACTTAAATTGTCTTTGAAATTCCTCCTCCTGTGGCTTATCCCGCTCCATCCCATTCTGTTTCCTGCTCACCTGCAGCCAGGGGTGATTGGAATCTGTGCTGCCTCCACACCCAGCAGGCCCTGCTCGGCCTGGGAAGGAGCAGCACAGCCCAGACTGTGACAAAGTTCACACTGAACTGATAACAGACCCATGGCAGTTCAGGTTACCTGATAAAACACCACATCCCAAGGAATTTACTGCCAGGGCCATCTTCTACCGCTTCATGGAGCAGCACTTGCTCTCTTTGGAAGAGAAATGGCCCAAACCAGTGAGAGCCAGCTCAGAGCAGGTGCCAGCTCAGCACACACCTCAGCAGGTGTAATGTGGGAATTCCAGGGAATGCCTGGAATTTGTATCCCATCCAAAACTGTATCTTTGAGACACCTGAAATGCAGAACTGATAGAAAGAGCTGTGACAGGCACCTCAGGAGAGAAGAGCTTTGGGAACAGGTTATCCAAACAGTGGGACTTAAACAGAAACTAAAACAGGGACCTGAAATGGGGTGGAGAAAAGAACAAAGGTGCTGGCCCAGCAGAGTGTTTATGATCCTGCTCTGGGAGTGGAGAGCAGCTCAGCAGTTCCTGTGTCAGGAGAGATCCTTACAGACAGGAGGAGCCTCAGCAGGACCAGGGATCAGCCTGAGCAGGGCCAGGGGCTGCCTGAGGAAGGGAAAATACAGAGCACCTGAGGGAAGGCTTCTCCCCACAACCAAGGAGGGCAAAATCCTACATCAGAAAAGTTCCCATGTTCTGGCATTGGAAAAGGTGAGGCTTTCTCCACCCTAAAATTCACCTGTCTGGTCCCTGCAGCCTCTGGCCTCTCCTTGCAGGGACACTCAGCAGCTGCTTCTCATCAAAACCTCGTCACAAGCTGGAGGAGCCAGAGCCCAACAAGTGGTCAGGAGGTGGGAAACACTCACAAAGCTCCCAAATGGCAGCAGGTGGCACACAGGACACGTGGCCATGCCCCACAAGGTGCAGCCAGACCAGGAACTGCTGACAGGCACAAATCCCAGCAGGGAGAAACAGGGTCAGGGGCTGGGACCTGGGCAGGGGAAAGGGGGAGGTCCAGTGCCACCAGCAGGTACAGCCCACAGCCATGGCAGTGAACACGGAATATGAGTGACAGCTGTGACAGTCACCCTCCTTCAGACAGGTCAGCCCTGTTCACATGTGAGAAACAGTAACAGAGCCAAAGGGATGGCCTGGCTCGCCCTGGCACCATGGGACTGCTCCAGGACCATGGCACCATGGGCACTGTCCCAGGGAAAGGCCCCAAAGTGCCCAGGTGCTGTCAGGCAGTGCTGGGTCTGGTTCAGCTCACAGGGTGCTCAACTGCACCAACCCCCTGCACTGAGCTGAGCACCCTGTGGACACATCCATGCCACTCAAACGAGGGCTCAGACTGTTTAATGCATCAAAAGAGAAGAACAAAGCTCGACCCAAGGGTAGATTTACGTTTCAGAAAGGGAAACGTGTGCCCCAGGGCAGGGTGAGCTCTCGCATGTCTGCAGGCTTCTGCCACCAGCACGACCTGCAGGTATCCAACTGGGTTGTGTGAAAGGAAAAACGGATCAAATTCGGCCAAAAAGGGGCAAGTCCCATCCGTCTGAACAGCCAGGCTGCGTAGCAACAGTGTCACTTGGCACGGGACACAAACCTCCACACCTCCCAGTACAAACCAGCTGCTCAGGGACCAGGAGCATTCCCAAAGTAACCCAAAGCTGCAGCTCCAGCAGCGAGAGGTGATGCCAAAACACGGGGAAGAGAAAAAAAAAAAAACCTAACAAAGGTCCAAGAGAGCTTCAACCAGCAAATCCCACAGCGTGGGGCTGAGGACGAGCCGACCCCGGACCCGGCAGAGCGTCACCACCAGCCGCGACCACGCCAGCGCAGGGCTCGGACACCCCGTGTGACACCGGGAAAGTCACCCCGGAGATCCCGCAGCGCGGGAAGCGGCCACGGAGCCCTCCGGACACTCCAGAGCCTCCCAGTGCCGGCAGAGCAGCGCCCTGATGCCAGGGACACCGGGCAGCACCAGCGCGGGCACTGCCGGCTCCGGACAGCCAAAGTCGCTCTCCTCTGTGCCAGCCGAGGGCACAGCAGCCCGAGCAGCCCCCGTTCAGGGGTGCCCGGCTCACACCCCTCACACCCTGCAGTGTCCCCCCCAGCTCCGCCCGGGGGACAGAGCGGGGCAGACCCCGGCCCCTCCCGCAGCGCTGCAGGACAGGAACCCCCGGCAAACCCCCTTTGTCCCGCGGCACCCCACGAGCGCATCCAACCCCTCCGGCTGCCCGCAGCCCCACAGCTGACCGCCTGTTCGCCCCCGCCTCACGCCCAGCCCCTCACGGCCGCCCCCGGGCCGCGCTCACCTGAGCAGGCTGGACAGCGGGTGCCCCACACCGACGCTCCCGCCGCTCCCGCCGCCGCCTCCCCCCGCGGAGCCGCCGCTGCTGCCGCCGCCGCCACCGGAGCCGCCGAAGCCGGAGCTGAGGCGCTTCCCCGAGAGCAGCTTCTCCACGGCCGGGAGGTTCCCGGTGCGAGCGGCCTCCAGCAGCTCCTGCTCCTTCCCCATGGCCGGCGCGGCCCGGCCGCCCGCGCGACTTCCGGGGCGGGGCCGCGGCGGGGCCCGGGGGCGGGGCCTGAGAGGGCGGGGTCTGGTGGGCGGTGCATGGGCGGGGCCTGGGTGTGCGCGGTGCAAAGGGCGGGGTTTGCGTAGGCCCCGCCCCCGAGCGCTGCCCGTGGTCCCTCAGCCGCGCTGGTTTTGGGCGGGTCTGTGGAGGTTTTCCCTGCGGGGACCGGGCAGCGGGGCCGCTCTAACGCCGTGTCCCGGCAGGGTCCGGGCGTGGGGAGGGCGGCTCAGAGCGGGGCCGGCCGGACGGAGAGCGCAGGGCCCGGGGGTGAAGCCCGCACAGGCCCCCCTGCGCAGCGCCGCTGCCATGGCGACACGCCCGGCCTCGCGCATCCCTTCACGGCTCCCGTAGCGGTGCGTCCTCAGGAGGCGCCGTTGGCGCGCCGTTGGCATGGCGACATGCTCCGCCTCCATCGCGGCGCCATGGGACGCGTCATTAAACCGCGCTGCCGAGTCGCCGTTGCCTTGGCAACAGGCACCGCCCCCCGGCGCGGCCCTGACAATTTTGTCATCAGGACGCGCCGTCGCATCTCCGTTGCCATGACTACCGCCCGAGCGTCGCCGGTAATGTGCGTCATCACGATACGCCACGCTTGACCGTTCCCGTGGCGATAGGCTCCGCCCCCCGCGGCGCCCGTCGCGTTTCGTCATCAGGAGGCGCCGCGGGCGCGGCCATGGCGGACCCGGCCCGGGACGCGCTCGGTGCCGCCGCGCCGGAGCCGCCGCCCGCAGGCTGCTCCCCGCCCGCCGCCGGCGATGCAGCGGCTGTGGGGGAAGCGGCAGCCGCAGAGGGAGCGGGAGAAGGCGAGGTGGGGGAGGCTGGCGGTGGCAGCGAGCTGAAGGCGGAGGTGGCGGACGGGGAGGTGAGGCGGGAGCGGCAGCGGGGCCGGGCCGGGCCGCGGGGCCGCAGAGCGAGCGCTGCCCTCTCGCCCAGGTGAGGAGCGCGGACGGGGAGGCGGCGGACTCGGAGGACCCGGCGCTGCAGGCGAGCGCGGCCAGGAAGGTGAAGCTGGAGCTGAAGGAGCGGAAGGAGAAGAAGCAGAAGGTGGACGAGGACGAGATCCAGAAGATGCAGTGAGTGCCCGCGAGTCCGGGAATCGCGGCCCCGGTGCCGCAGCCCCCTCCAGATTCCCGTTCCAGCCCAGCGCTCCCCGCTCCTGCCGGGCCCGGGGGAACGGCTGGGAACGAGCGCTGTGCCCGCAGGATCCTGGTCTCCTCCTTCTCCGAGGAGCAGCTGAACCGCTACGAGATGTATCGCCGCTCCGCCTTCCCCAAGGCCGCCATCAAACGGGTACGAGCGGGGCGGGAGCCCGGGCGGGGCCGTGCCACCCCCGCGGCCCGGGACAGCCCAGCCCCAGGGGCTGCAGCTCAGTCCCCGCGGCAGGAGCGGGCGCTGCAGCTCCCCCGAGGGGCTGGCAGGTCGCTGGGGTGGGGCTCTGAGTGTCCCCGCCTGTCCCCGTGCCTGTCGCAGCTGATCCAGTCCATCACCGGCACCTCGGTGTCCCAGAACGTCGTCATCGCCATGTCGGGCATCTCCAAGGTGTTTGTTGGGGAGGTGGTGGAGGAAGGTGAGTGACAAGGGAGGAACCCGGGTGAGTTCCCTGCTTGGAGCAGGTTTTCCGTGGTTCTCCCTTCCAGCTTTTTCCTGGTGAAGCTGCCACAGCCCCTCTGAGCCCCCCAGTGCTGCTGCCTCTCCTCAGGCAGAGAGGCTGGGCTGGCCTGAGCCCAGAGCAGCTGCAGGGTGAGGATCTCAGTGCTGCAGGGACAGAGGGGCTCCTGGAGCCTCTAAACCTGCCCCAGTCTCCCTTTATGGGATCAGCTGCTGGGGGAAATCTCAGCCCAGGGCTGCAGAGCAGAGGCTCTGAGCTCATCCAGCCCCTGGCTCCAGCATCTCCACCCTGCCTGGGTGCTTCAGAAGCTTTTTGTCCTGGCAGGGAGGAGGAGCAGATCCATTCCTGCCTCTGAGCAGCAAACCCCAAACACAAACATTCCCTGTTCCTTTCAAACTGCACTGAAGCAGCTGCAGGGGATGGGCAGAGCTCAGCTGGCCCCTGCCATGACCTCTGTCTGTCTGTCTGTCCAGCCCTGGATGGGTGTGAGAAGTGGGGGGAGCTGCCCCCCCTGCAGCCCAAGCACATGAGGGAGGCCGTCAGGAGGCTCAAGGCCCGTGGGCAAATCCCCAACTCCAAGTACAAAAAGATCATCTTCCACTGAGAAAGGCTGAGGTGAGCTTCCTGTGGGAGCTTCCCACGTGGACTCTTCCCCAAGGCCCCTCTGGGGGGGCCTGTGGGGCCTCAAGGATGTTCCTGCTGGGCAGAGCCTGGATGCACCCTCAGCCTGCACTCTGGGGTCTCAGCACAGCAGGGAGAGGAACAGCAGGGGCTGCAGAGCATTTCCTGCTGGCCCAGATGTGCTGTCTGTGCCCAGATGTGGCTTTTTTTGTACATTAAACTTATTCTTGTGTTCATAACCTGACTGGGATCTGCTCCGTGTGTGACCCAAGGTGCTCCCAGAGCTGCTCCCAGCCTGGGGCTGGCACATCTCAAGTCAGGGCTCAGCTGTGCTTCCAAATCCAGGAGCTGCCCAAAAACCAGCAGCGTTGGGGTGGAGGGGGAAGGAGAAGCAGGAAAAGAGGCCCGAGCCTGGAAGGAGGTTAATGAGTTTAATTTTGCTCCTGGTTCATAGAACCAATAAATGCATCAGTGGAAACAAACTGCAGCAGAGTTGCAATACTGCCTAAAATTCAAATTCAAGTTCAGGCTTGCACATTCCCCCATCCCCTCCCAGGGGCCCTGGGAGCTGCTCCTGCCCCTGTGGGAGGTGCTGATGCCACGTGCTCTCCCATGGCACCTGTGCCAGGCAGGACTCCCTGGGCTCTCACTGGAACACAGGAAAATCCTTAAATAAGAGGCTCCACAAAGTAAACTTTGATATTTACAATCTGTGAGGACCCAGGAGGTTTTGTCCTCCCACGTGTGTGGGTTTTGGGTTACACTCCTTTTTACTGGGTCTTCAAAGCAAAGGAAATGTTTGAATTCTTCAACAAAACCCGTGGACTGAAGTTGCTGGAGCAAGGAATTTGCTGTAAACAACCTGGCCCCAGCTGTGCTCAGCCTGCACACGTGGGAGGAGCTGTGGGACCCTGCAGGCTGGGCAAACCCTTGGCATACCCTTCCCATACTCACACAAAATGCCATGAAAATTTGAAAAAGCAGAAGAGAGAAACCTCCCATTTTCAAGCAATTAATGAAGAAAAAGCAGGAATACCGTGGCATTCCACCTCAGGCAAGCAGTTCTCAGAGCTCCTGCTCCCCCACAGGGAGAGGGAGCAGCACAAAGGTTTGGTGAAACAAAATCCTGCTGGTGGGCAGTTCCCAGCAGTGCTCACAGGGAGCTGCTCCAGTGATTTCCTTTTGGGATCAGGGCTGGCAGGTTCTGGGGTCCCATCCCCAGCAGCCCCTCAGCCCTGCTGAAAGATTCCACCCAGTGCTGAAAACCCCACAGCTCCTTCCTCAGCAGCCACAGCTGCTCCTCCTCCTCCCCACTGGGGAACTCGGGCACACAAAGCTCTGAGGACAAGGTGCATCCCAAAAAACACCCAGGTCATCACCTGAGACTGAACCAACCTCCCTCACCCCCTTCTTTGATAGTAAAAGTTTAAACAGTGCCTTGTAAGGAATTAATTCCTGCACCAATAAAGCCAAACATTGTGGGATAAAGTGGGAATGAACTGGACTGTCTCATACACTGCACCCATCTCTACACAAGGAATTACTGGTGGAAAAGGGAATCTGAAGGAATTTCTGTACTATCCTGACCCTGTTCGTGTGGGAATAGTGAGCTGTGTGCCCTGACTCCACAGTGGGAATCCCATCCCTGGTTCCAGTGACAGCAGCCCTGCTCTCCCAGCAGAGCCCTGACCTTTCTGCCAGCCCTGCCCTGTCACTGCCCAGGTGCTGAGGTGACCACCCTGCTCCTGCTGCGGGCCCTGGCGAGCACTGCTGGGCAAGAACACAACAAGGAAGGGTGAAAGAAGCAGAAACCCCAGCATGGACCATCTCCAGAAGTCACCACAAAAGCAGGAGGCTGAAAGCCACCCAGAGATGAGGAGACACGGGGTGTCCCCCCCACATCTGACCTGGTGCTCACGGGCTGGCCGTGCCCTGCCTCAGTGCAGCACTCCCAGGCCAGAGCAGAGCAAACTCCTCCTCATTGCTCTCATTCTCTCAGCCAGGCCCCTCCATCCCTCCCTCCCTCCCTCCCTGTGCCCAGTCTCTGCAGTCACAGCTGGTTTCAGTCCTGGGGTTGGACCCGTTTGGCAGCGAAATGACCAAACCTGCCCTGCTGGTGCTGGTGCCCTGTCCCTGGCAGTGTCAGAGCTGGAACAGGGGGTTGTACTTCCTGATCTCCTGCAGAAGGCGAGCCTTGTCCATGTTGGCTTCTGCCAGGGCCAGTTTCATGGTCTGGAGCTCCCTCTGCAACTCTGGCACTTGCTTGAGCTGCAGGAGACAAGCAGAGAACAAGGCAGGAGCCTTCAAGGTACACAGTGAGCTGCCCCAAGGAAAACCAAAGCAGGAGCTTCTGGGATCAATTACACAGCGAGACAAAACCACTGCCAGAACTTCTCTTTTTGGGAACCTCTCAACTGCTGTTCTTCCAACAAGGAACTGGACACAGTGGGGAAGATGGAGCCAATCACAAAAAATAATCCCCAACCAGATTCTGAAAGGGAACAAGTGAGTTCATGCTGGGCAAGGTGCCCTCACTCCTTAAAACACTCATGGGAGCTGGCACAGGCTGCTCCTCGGGTCATTCCCTTCCTGCAGCTCACCACACCTGCCAGGACTGCAAACACACCAAGGCAAAAGAGAATTTCCAGCCTCTGTTGTCCAGGCAGCAGCAGTGACTCACCTGCAGCCCACGTGCTCCTGCTGCTGGGGCTGGTGAGACAGACTCTGATGGGGCCTTCTGCTCCTCAGGGACTGACACAGGTTTTTCCTGTTTCACTGAGTCCTTCCCCTGGGAAGCTGAAAAGCAACAGAACCCACTCAGGTGTGGACATTCACACAACAGGGCTCTCAGAAAAAAAAAATAACCTTTAATTAATTTATTGCCTTTTTTCTTCCCCCTCTTGTTACACAGGAAAATAAAATTCTCTTTCCCCCTTTAAAATGGAGAACGTAAAAGGTAATAATGGTGTGCTTAAGGGAACACCAGACATGAATTCTCACAGCAGGGAACAGAGGCAGGGACTGCTCCCACAGCAGGAAACACACACAGGGACTGCTCCCACCTCAGGGCCCATCGTTCCCAGCAGCAACCCTCACATCCCAGTTCCTCCAGCACAGCCTGGGGGTGCAGAGGGACAATAAAACCAGATGTGACTCACCTGTGAGATAGAAGACACCGTCATCCCTGCGCCTCACCACGAGGTGATCCATTGCCAAGGTGATGGGGACAGGGCCAGGGGAGGTGGGGTACACTGGGGGGCTGTCATCCTGGAGGAACATGAAGCAGAGAAGGGATGAGCAGCTGTGACAGCTCTTGGAAGGATTTCCCTTGCCTGCAGCCTCCTCAGGAGCAGCGTTCCTGACCAGCAGCACTGCCAGACTCACGGGGGTGAGGCCACCCTAGGGAAAGGCCTGGCTTTATGTACAGGATGTACAACTACACGCTTCCCTTATATTCCTTATTCATCCCTAGGTTTGGTTTTGCTTTTAGAAGCAAAACCAAACAGTCTTGGGAGAAGAGAAGCTCTACAGAGGCCCCCAGCATTCCCACAGCATCCCTTCCCAAGTGCAACCCTGCAAGTGAGCTCTGCCCTGGGGGGAATCTCTCACCTTCAACGTGATTTTGGCATCCACCACCTCTATCTCCATGGGGATGACCTCTGGGATGATTTCATCCTCCAGGAAGGGTCCCAGGCTGGTGAGGCAGGACGTGCAGAGCTCAGTGCACTGGCTGTGCAGCAGCACCTGCAGGAAGCCGTTGCGCTCGGCCAGCGGCGAGAGAGCGGCCGCGCTCGGACCCGACTGCAGGCGCAGGCACACCTCGGGCCGGGGCTGCCCGGCCCCAGGGCTCGCTGCCTTCTCCACACCTGGGTCTCCTAGAGCTGGGGCAGAGAGATCTCGCTGCACAACGGGGCCAGTGATCAGGGATCAGTCAGAAAGGGCATCGTGGAAAGCCCATCTCAGTCCAAAAGCAGCCAAGTGACCTTGGTTTGACATCACCCCTCACATGGGAGAAATCCCAGTTTTGAAGGACTAAGAGCTCACATCACTGGACTGGCACTGGAGCTGCATCATTTAAGGTCCCAGGCACATCCCTCTCTCACCACACTTTAAAACTGGCCCGTTTTGCATGGGCAGGATCTGGCTCAGTGCCCCACTCACTCTCCAGAGCTGCCACAACTCTGCCCCCCAGAACTGTCCCAGCCGCCCTCCAGAGTGCCCCAGCTCTGCCTCCAGAGCTGACCCAGTGCCCTGGTTCACCCTCCAGAGCTGACCAGCCTTTCCTCATCCCTGGGCTCCACCGTGGCCACTGGCAGGACTGGGAAAGGAAGGATCAACAGCCTGGGAACGGCTCACACTTCCACTTCAGGTTTGGAGCTGCTTTTGGTTTTGTTTGGGTTACATTTTTTGGAGTGTTGAGGGGGATAGTTGATTGTTTTCACGTTTGGCTTGTTGGGTTTTTTTAAATTCAAATTTAGGGAAAGTACTGTAGACCCAAAAGTATTTTTCTCAGATCAGGAATAACTTCATGGCTTCCCTAGACAGCTTTATTCACTTTTTAAATTCATTTTATGCATCCTCAGCAATTTAAAAAACCCCAATCAATGACTACAAAGCACCACAGAGCCTGACTGTGTAGACACTTGGAAACATCTTTCAAATGTCAGATCTGAACCCTCACACATGAGTTGTGTTCAATCCTAACCACCCCAAACACTGAGGCCCCAGTTAATGGAATATTCCCTGAGGGAGGATGATATAAAAGTTCTACCAGTGCAGCTGAGTCCCAGAGCAGCATCTTACCCACGTAGCCACGCAGGAACTGCCACATGCCAACGTTGTTCAGCTGCTCTGGAACCACGTTCATCACTTGTAAAGCCACAGACAAATCATCTCCTTGTACCTCTACTGCACAGTTCACATCATTCATCTTCAGCACGAGGACAGACACCTGAAACAGCCACCAAGAGCTCATTGGTTACAGCAAACACCTCCAGAGCCCCTCAGGGACAGAATCCCAGTGCCAGGCACTGACCAGCTGCAGACTGGGGTCTTCACTCTGGGACGTGGAGCTGTTCACCTCAGGGGACACTCCACCCTCGTCCTCTGCCACCAGGCTGCTTCTGCTGCCCGTGTCATTGTGGGCCTGGGGAAGCTGCCCTGAAGAAAGGGGGTCCAGGCTGGGTTCTGAAATGGAAGTAACAACAACTCAATTCCATTTCTTTTTCTGGAAGTCCTGACATCAGCATCTGCCTGAACCTCTGGCCTCTCTGGAGGTACCATCCTCTGGAGATCCATCTCTCTCCAGCTTCTCAGATGAGCTTAAGCAACACAGGGTTGAAGTGAAAGATGTCCCAAGTACCCAGTATTCAACCAGCCCTTCCTAAATGCTCTGTACCACCCACCACCAGCACATCACAGCCCCTACAGCCCTCAGGACACCATTGGGACACTCAGGGTCACCCCACACTGATTCACCCTCCTCATCTCAAGGAAAAGGCACCTACAAAAGCAGAAAGAGCCACTGTGAGGCAGCTCCTTAAGCCCTTCAAAAACAAGGAGCAGCAGAAGTGATTCCACAGGAGCACAGGATGAGCTGCCTGCGGCACAAAGCATCACCCCTGTGAGAGGAGGGTGGGGACAGAAAAGGCCAAGGGCTTTACCAGAGTCTGTGAGCATCACGAAGCCATCACTGCCATCACTGTCCACGGACAGCCCGTCCTCAGGGCCACTCCCATCCACGGATGTGGTGTCAAAGGAATGCTGGGATGAGGTCCTCTTCATGGAGAAGAAACGCATCCGGCCGCTGCCCGCCCCGCCCGGGGTCACCGCTCCCTCCTCTGCTTTGGGCACAGAATCCCTACAAAAAACCCAACAAAAACCAGGGATAAAGGCAGGCAGCTGAGCCTGCAGATTATCTGAGTGTTGGGCTGGTCTCTGACCACTTGCAAGTCAGATTCAGTATCCTCAGAACACCCCCAAGAGATGAACACTTAACCCATCTCCAGTCCAGATACAATGGACAGAAAGGGAGTGGAGGTCCTCTGTGTCCCCCTCCTGCAGCTCAGGAACCTGCTCACCTGGCTGGGGGCAGGGACAGCATCCTCTGCATGGTGGAGGTCATCTTGTCCCGGCTCAGGCTCAGGGCATCCTTGGTGAGGGACATGGCCTCCTTGGTGAGGTCCATGGTGGCGTGCAGAGCTTCCTTCGTGGCGTCCTTGGTGATGTGCAGGGCACTGGAGAGCTCCTCCTCGATGCTCCGCAGCGGGATGAGCTCTGCCTGGCCATTGAGGGCGACGCCTCCTCTGCCCGAGGGCTGCGTGTCCGAGGCTGGGCTGGAAGGGAGAGCAGGGGGGCTCTGAGGGTGGCTGCTGGTCTCTGCTGGTCCTTCTGCAACCAGGGCTTCCACAGCTTCGTG